GTGTGAGCAGGCACGCCTGCATGAGCACGGGGGGCGTGCGGGTGCATGTCGGGGCGCGTGAGGCTCTGCAGGGTCCCCTGGGACCGCCAGCCAAGAAGAGTTGCCTTTCTTTTGGAATTAAACACAATGAAAAACAAAAGGCGCACCTGTGGGAAGTGACACGCGGGGACAGTATGGTAGTCTGCGGAGTCCACCGCGTCGGGCGAGTGTGTTTTAGGGCGCGCCGGGCCACAGCGCAGCCCGCCCCCCTGGGTGGCAGCGCGCAGGCTTGGGGATGAGCGCCGGCCGTCTTGGCCTGGGCAGAGTGACACCCAGGCTGGCGGCGGCCGCAGGCAGGACCCGAGGCCGGCGCCTCATGTCGGTTGAGGGCAGACGCGGTCACAGGCGTCTTGTCACACTTTGGCAGAAGTGCTTGCCATGGATTTCTCAACAGAGCTCTTCAGCAAGAGACAAACACAAAGGAAACCACATTCTGGACACTCCCCCCAGGCCAGGCAGATGGCCCTGGGGGACCCAGCCAGGCGGGAACTTAGAGGGAACTCAGAGGGAACTCATTGCTACTCCACTTCCGGCCACAGCGAAGTTCAACAGATAATCAGCTGCTAACCCTGCAGGTAAATCAGGATGCTGAGGTCAAGGAGGTTCTGCTGATGGTTTACAAATCAGAGAAGACAAATTAGTATGCAGCTTTAAAAAGTCGCACGTTGATAACTTCCAAGCTGTTTCTCTTTTCCTTGCCCACTGCTTTCTGATGCATGGGGAGGGGACTTGCCTATGGTCACCTCCGTGCACCTCCCCAGGCCACACACCGAGTCTGCCCATCAGCTCACCCAGCTCACCAGGTGGCCTGACGTGTGAGGATGAGAGCCACCTAGGGCCCTCCAGGCCTAAATTCTGCAACTCCTAGACAGGGGCTTGACAACCCCTGGTTACTGCTATGCCCACCCCTCGTCCACCACAACTTGCAATTTTTCAAATGACCGAATTTCATGAAGGCTCCTCTCTCGTCATAAATATGAATGACTCCCTCTGCATTTGTACTCTTTGGCAGGCAGAAGGAAACCATGCCAGTCACTTTTGTGGCAAAAATAAATTAAAACAAGTCTGACGCACAGGCCTTGCGCTAGTAGAGTCTAAGGAAAAGAGAATGGGCTTCTGTGTGCTGAGCGGAGGCTAGCGTTCCTCCAGAGCTGCACATGGGGCAGTGGTCTGCGGAGCCGAGGGTCTCAGGGACCCGCGGGAACCTTCTGGCCGGGTTCTCTTCCTGAATGAGAGGCTTCCAGGAAGACCGGTGTGAAAGAGGGGGCAAGCGAGGGAGGAAGCGGGGGCTCTGTGGTCTGTGCCCTAAAACACCTGGCTTTTGCATTGCGAGGGCCAGTGGGGTGACCTTGGAATTATAGCCTGGTCTTAGCACTGGCTCCGAGCTAACTGTCCAAGCACCAGAGGTGGCTCCGGGAAGGGAAAAAGGTTTGTTTTTTATTTCGACCGAAATGGAAACAAATGTTTTTCTTTATTATGAAAACTATGCAATATGTAATTACCCAACACAATAGTGGTTTTATTGCTGAAAAGGAACAGTTTTAACCTTTCTCGTTTGACTACCCTGTCTCTGTCTCTGTCTCTGTCTCTGTCTCTCTCTCTCACACACATCCCACCTGGAAAATTCCATTTACATCAGTGTCTCCTAAACTACCTGTGGTAAAGTTAAGATTTTTAAAAAAATTTCAAACCCTTGCAAAATAATACTTACATATAATACAATAAACAACACTGTTGTATCAGGATTTAATATTTTTAATGTGACAAGATTGTTTCTTGCTTATGTGATTGAGCAACCACCTTACTCATAGAGGAAAACGTCCACCTAAACACTCTGTGTTTCGTTTTAATAATACGCACAGTAGACAAAACACTGTGCATGGAAATCAACCAGGAGATTATAAAGTAAGCTCGGCAATCACAGGTTATTCCTTTATAAGGTTCATCCACATTAAAGCAAGTGGTGCTTTATTCATCTCCAATCTCTCATCAAGAGTCAATTTTCACAATTTATCTTGATAAGTTACAGTTAAAATTATCTTTCGATGAAACAATTCCAGATTGTATGCCCCACTGGATTATAGTTGACAAACATCAACTGCACAGAAATTGTTGGCAGCTCGGGCCATGTGCTACTGACCACATGATACCTGAACTGACCGCTAAGGGCTTGGACGTCTCGGCAATGTCATATGGCTACAGGCATTTCTGAACCCTGCTCCCTCCCCCTCACCAGAGGTGAGTAGCCAGCAGCTCCATCTGAATAAGATGAGTTGATACAGAAAACCATGAGCAGTGTTTCTCCATGTGGGACCCCAGATCCCCGCTTCAAAATCACCTGGGGACTTCTTCAAAATGCAGATTCCTGGGTCTAGAATCAGGGTGTTTGGGGCCGAGGCTGACTTCTCCTGGAAAATTTCTGATGTACCCCCAAGTCTGAGAACATTGCTCCCTAGTGCTGGCCAAGTTCTTTTTCATTCTAATCATGGAAGCCATCATTGGGTGGCCTGGGTGGCCTTGGCCTGGGGTATGACATCTACAGCAAGACTTTCCTCAAGCACGCTCCCTTGAGTTGCAGGGCATTTGGTCAATTTTCCTCTAAAAGATCATCTTTAAATAAAGCAAGGCTTGCTGAGCAATCGCTTTTACATTATAGACGTGGAGGAATGAATTCTGTTCTCGTCACTTCCATTCCTTCCGTTAGCCTCGACTCTCGCCAGCCTGTTTGCCAGATTCCCAGGTGTGAGTTCCGACTCATCTTGCTCTCCCTCCTCGGGCCAGGGGTGTGGGAACCGACAGGTGGTCCGGGAGCGTTGCTCTGCCTGAGCCTTCGGCTGCCTGTCTGAGCAGAGAAGGAGCCATTTTGTCCCCATTTCATTGGGGAGCACCCCATCTGACAGCTCCTTGCTCCCTCCCTCTCACAGTCCAAAGAGAACCCCCTTAGCTCAGGCCAGGGCAGAACACAGGCAGTCACCCATTAAGTGTGCGACTTAATGGGGAAAGGTCACCGGCAACTCCATGAAGATAATCTAACTCATTTACTCTCCCTCCACCGGCATTGCCGAAGCTCCGTGTGCCCCGCAGGAAATCTCCGGTGTGGGCCGGCAGATTTCGAGGACATTGACCCGCCGTCACATTTAAAAACACATCTCAACAAAACTGCACGACGTCCAGTAGCGATGCAGGAGTTTTCCCACGGACCCTTTCGCTCCCCTTTCTGTTAGCACGACCACCTGTCTGCCCTCGTTTTTGATGACTCTTGGTTTGATCTGGCTTTCCACTGGTGATGATGAGAAACTCGAGCCACTCAGGCCCTCTTGTCTGCTTCTGCTTCCGAGCAGGGCACACCTGTAGGTGCTCAGGAAATGTCTGCACCTCTGGAGAGAGGCCCTCGTGCTGGGATCCGGGCCATGACCTCGTCTTCCTTGAAACCACGTCGTCGAAGCACCGTTTCCAGGGAGCCGGGAAGAGCACGTGGCTCCACCCATTACCAGTGTGTCGGGCGGCCCAGCTCACCCGGAGACGGCACATCAACCCCAGGCCTCCCGTCTCCAGGCTCCCTCAGCATTTCAAACCTTCATTCTTTGCTACGATTTCCCTTCTCTTTAATTGCTTTTCCTTTTAAGCTCTGCAGCCTCCCACAAGCCTTTGAAGGCAGGGAGATGAAGCGGGAGACTCCAGTCTCATAAGAAGCTGCGTAATTCTGAGGAGGCCACGAAGTTCTCCAAATTAGTGCTTTTGGCCAACGCCTCTACTCAGTGTAAAAATTCTTGCTTAACTTCTTTTCCTGCCTCATTTTTAATCTTGCTATTTCCTCTGAAAATATTTGGCTGAAGCTCTTGCAAGCCGATCCTTCCCCACCGTGATTCTGACACACACTCTGCTCTGCTGCACTTGTCCTCAGGGACAGTGGGCGTGGGGGGACTGTGGAGGCCACCACAAGGTGCAGCCTCTCTGTGTGAGCAGGGTGGTGGCCGTGTGTGTCCTCGGGTGGAGACCGGCGCTCTCAAGTGCTCAGTGTTTCTCACAGAATCACCAGCGGCATCGCCACGCCTGCGACAGCTGAGGGCTTGACGGTCCTCCAGAGCCTGTCCTGTCCCTTGAGTGTGTCAATGCTGTCAGCTTTCAGCACTAGGAAAGTAAACTATGAAGCTCTTAAAGGCAATTCTGATTTACTGCGTTTCTTTAACAGCCGTTTTATGGCGCTCTGTGCACCTGGGACCAGCCTCGCACCCACGTGGTTCTCTCGAAAAGTCCAATTTCTACAGCAACGGTTGAGAAAAAAAAAAAGAGGCAAAGCACAGAGAGAGACGCATAGTTTGTTCTTGAAGAGTGAAGTCAATGCACTCCATTTTTTATTTCTCGTGGTAAAATATATACAGCATAAACTTCACCATTTTGAGTGAACAATTCAGTGCATTACGTACATTCGCCACGTCGTGTAAGCATCGCTGCTGTCCATTCCTAGATCTGTTCCATCTTCCTAAACTGAATCTCTGGCCACATTAAACAACAATGCCCTCTCCGCCCCCTGGCCCAGCCCCGGCTCCAGCCCTCCTGCTTCCTGTCTCAGGGAATTTGATGACTGCAGGGACCTCACGCGTGCCCTGTGGTGACTGGCTTCTTCCACTGAGCGTAATGTCCTCGAGGCTCACCTGTAGCACACGTCAGCGAGTCCTTCCTTTTGATGGCAGAAGGGTTTTCCATCGCATAGAGTTGGGGTTTCCCATCGGGCTGTGGTTCACTCACCTAGGCTTGGGATCAAAGACCCCCGTTCAAGTCCAGTTCCACCGAGGGCCGTTGGCGTGTGAGCTGGTCAAGGCCCCACCTCCCCCGTCAGCCGACCGAAGTAACGATCCCAGGCTGGCGTCGGGTGTGAGGCCTTCCCGCCAGGTGGATGCGCCATACATCTCCACATGGGGTCCTCCAGGGCCCCTCCAGAACCCAAACCCAGTGTCTGTCCTGGTTCCCCCCACTTTCCTCAGCCCTGAGGTGGAATGAGGAGACACAGGGTGAAGCTTGTTTTAAGCAACAATTCCCACTTTTCAGGACACTGAATGAATCACCTTCCTCCCTGGTGTTCTGGGCAAGTCCAGCAAGGCTGGTGGGGCTACAGGAGGAATTGACCCTGGGCCTGGGGGGCCAAAGGGATGAGGACCTTCTGACCCACGTGAGGAAGGACCAGAGAGGGTATTGGACACAGGCGACTTCTGAGGGCCTAGATCCGGTGGTGGCCTTGCAGGTAGAGAAGGTGCCTCACTTGAACCACACTAACATGACTCGCTCATGATCGTGGAGGACCGCAGCAGAGGGTCCACCAACAGGGAGAACCCCGTCTTGCGCGACTTCCCTGGCCCCGGCCGGCGGAAGAAAGCCAGGCTGTGGACGACTCCAGGGACCACACCAAGCGTTTGGATTCCCAGTTCTCTCCCTTGGAGCTGGGGTTCTAGGTGCCTCGAGACACTCTGACAGCTCAAAATTCTCCAGCTGCACCGCCCACTGCAGCCCCTGTCACCACCTGGTCTCCAGCCACACTGGCCCGGGCCGGAGGGCAATGAGGACACGGCACGATTTTGCGCAATGATCGGGGTACCAGGATGGCAGGATGTGGCTGTGGCCGCCAGGGAGCCCACAGTGTAGGCCAGGCGCACGGCCCGGAGCTGCGGTGTGGGGTTCTGGAGTTCAGATCGGACCTGCCCTGCAGCCCTGAGAGCATGAAGGACGGTGGCATTGGGGTGCGGCTGCCATTGGTCCCCCTGGGACAGAAACACACTATCACTCGAGCAGATTTTGAAAGATGTTCCTTCATAGGTGGCAGGAAGGCCCGAGGCCTTGTGAGGTGAGCCTGGCCGGGGCGCACCTGTGCGGGCGGCACACAGCATCTATGATGGAGCCCGCCTGTCTCAGGGGACCACCACGCCTCGGCTGCTTGGAAGAGTCCGGAGGAAACGGGGTCGGGGACACCAAATGCGGGTGATAGCCTAATTCTGGAGGAGATGCCTTGTTTGAAAGAAAAATCAATGTCCTTCACCCATTACCGAGGGTGTCGCCCACATCCAGGACAGGAGGCTTAGCTGGCACCCACAGCGCTGAGAGGGCAGAGGCGAGCTCTTTACAAAAACCCGACCTGCAGGAGCGGCGGCGGCTTCACTGATACTCCTTGGTGGCTCCGAAAGCCCAGGAGCCGGGAGTCTGTTACAAACGCCACCTCTCTGGGCACTGGTGGCCTGGAAGACAAACCACAATGTTGTGCTTTCCATAGCGAGGCGATTTATGCAGAGCGGGCATATCTTCTCTTTAACGGTGGACAGTGCATACCTTCCGGAGTGGAGAGATCTCCCTCGTTGTGGCATTTAAAGTCATTTGTAAGGCAAATGAGTGCATCAGACTGATTCTGCTGGAAGCCAGGAGCTCTGGGGACAAAGTTTTCTCGTGCTCGAGCGTGATCAGCTCTGGGGACAGCAGGGCTGGGGCTGGACTCTCCCAGAAGCATCTCTCCCAAAAACGTCCCTGTTAAGCGCTTCCTCAGGCCCCTGTCTGCAGCCCGCGCCTCTGGTCACCCCGCCTGCTCCGACTTTGCCAGCCGGAGAGGTGACCTGGATCCATCGGTAAGTGACAACTACAAGCTGTAGAACAGTTGGTGTATTACAATTCAACTTCTTTTTTTCCATTTTTAAGAACTGGAATGTAATCAGCATACAACACTGCAAGTTTAAGCGTACAGCATGTTGCTGTGATAATTTATATATTGTGATATGATTACCACCACGGAGTTAGCTAGCTAACACCATTATCACGTTTCGTAATTATAACTTCTGTGGTGAGAATGATTAAGATCTAGTCTCTTAACACACAATTCAATTTTCGTTAAAAAAACATATCTGTTTGCTTATGTGTGCACACACACAGGTAAATATATGTATTTTAAACTACTGATTGGGACACCTCTGAAGAGGGTGGGGAGGATGGAGATTTGCTTCATAAATTATTTTCTTCTGCAGTGTATGTTTCTGACTTTTTTGTAACAATCATTTTTGGTAACTGAGAATGAATGACAATATATATTTTAAAAGTTTCAATGTTTTCAAAGTTTTCTAAGAGTCAGTTTTCAAAGTTTCCCAGGGAAACTTATTTTGAACGATTAAATTTAATAAGATTATGGGCCAGGGCCTTGGGAAAAAAATACGAGTCTATAAAAATCGAGGTTATTTTTGCTCATGTCCGCAGTACAGCGCTGGTCTGTGAGCTGGGAAGCAAAGGGACTCTGCTCTCACACTCAAAATATGTGCCACCTATGTTTGTGTAGCGCTGGAGGTACAGCTGGTACTTGTTGTCATGGAACAGGCTCGATTCCATGTTTTCTGAAACTTAGGATTTATACTTGTGAATATGACCCTACATAAAGACAGCTTCCGAGTTAGGCTATGCTCATTTTGAGAGAAAAACTACATTATCTGAACCAACTGCTCCTTCTCGAAATGCTTTAAAATTCAAGGTACTACTTACTTAAATATCTTGACTGGATGGAATTCGACTTTACTTCTGATATCGCCTTTTTTTTGCTTTGCAGTTTGCTGAAGTCATCTGTTTATTTATTTATTTATTTAATGAGTAGGCTATATACCTAAACATAGAGACAAATGACGTGTCTTTAAGATACCCCTCTCTCTGCACGAAGACGGGCAGGTTGCTGGTTCCTGTCATGGCATAATTAATCAGGGGCCCTGGACCCTGGAAGCCTTTTCTCACAGGCAGAAGACACACATGGCAGGCAAAGCGAGCAGGCTCGTCAATGGGATGGCAATTCACCAAAAGTCTCTTTGGAGTCTTCGATACTGTGTCTTGCTTTAGTTTGGTTTTTTACTTTCCTGCTGGGGGATACTTGAGGAAATATTTACTCCCAAAGCATAAGCAAAGGCGGCGGCCCCAGCGACCTCTCTGAAAGCCTTGGCGGGAGCAGAGGGGTGACGAAGCGCATGAGCCGGGCCCAGCGTTAGCTGGTGTGCGGGAGCCCGCTGGGGACAGGCGCGAGCACATCTGCGTCTTGGCCGTGCTTCGCTCTCGAATCCGTCTTTGCAGCTCTGTTCTCCAGAGCTTCCTGGGGCTGTAACCAGCCCACAGAGGGGCCGTGATGGACAGGGCTCACAGGAGGACGGGAAGCGCCAGATGGTGACTTGGAAAGTTCGTGGCAGTCTGGTGAAGAGCTTTGTACTTGAGGCCAATGGTGCAATGGATTTTCAGGTCCGTTGGCCAGGGGCGCAGGAGGCAGCTGTTCCTTCTTCTCCCCGGGTCCGTGCGGGCTCATCGTAAATTCTAACGCGACTGTCCTTGGAACATGCAAGCCTGAGATCCCTGGAGAAATCGTCAGTGCAGCCGTTCCCGCCCCAGCTTGAGTCCGGAGATTAGAACAGGGGGCCCCCTTTTAACTAATAAGCAGCCGGAAGGTTTAGATGCCTGCTCCGAAGAAATAGCTGGGCTATGTTAGCTTGGGAGAGAGAAGCTGGTCTCTTAGCCGTTCATCAATCCCCAATCATCAATCCATAGATCGATCGATCTATCATTATCATCATCATCATCTATACTATTTACCTATCATGGCATTTCCTTAAAAAAGAAATAGATTGTCCAGAAGTTGAAAAGGTTAAGTGAGATGCTACTATTTTGGGGAAATAACATCCACAGAGATGTTGAAAGTATAAATGACACAGATTGGCATGGGAATGAGACACCTTTCGCACTTGGGGTGCTGGGTGTTAATAAACGCACTGGTGGAGCCGATCAGTCCCAAAGCATGCAGGACACTCCGTGTTTCTGAGAGATGGACGGAGGATTTGGGGGGATGGGAGAGACGTCCTCCCGCCATCGAAGTTTCCTTTTAAAATGCGAGCCCTCACGAGTAAGTGAAATACTGGATCACATTCCCCCTCATTTACCACTTCTCTCCCCCTGCTCCCAGCTGAAAAGCTCCCAGCCTCCCCGGCCTTTGCATGCAGGTGTTTTAAAGCTCTACGCGGGTCTCTATGAGGTCGAGGCAGCTCTCCTTAAGAGACTGGCCCATTCCTCATTCTCAACAGGCCCACGGAAACGGAAACACAGTCTGAAAGGTCTGGGTGGTGGGGGGCGAACAGAACCCAAGATGCGGGGCCAATGCGCTCACTGCGTCCCGAGCACCATGGCCGTGCAGAGCTGTGTGCTCTACGAAAACGTTTGCATTCCTCCCTGGGGTTCTGCCCTTTCTGCCCGTCCCTGAGGTTGGCAGTGTGTGTGTGCATGCACGTGTGCATGTGTGCACGTGTATGTGTGTGCGTGTGTACTTGTGCGTGCGTGTGTACTTGTGTGTGCATGCACGTGTGCATGTGTGCACGCGCGTGTGCGCGTGTACTTGTGTGTGCATGCGTGCGTTGCGCCAGTTGGCACCAGCTCAGTGTTTGGAAGGAAAAGATGAGGAGCCCTCACGGGGGCCACTGAGAGAGCCCGCATGGCCTAGACTGTTCTTCCCGTGCCCTCAGACTCTGCGGGGTGGGAAGGGACCTGGGGTAAGGACTGAAGTCTGCGGCTGGCCGGGCGGGAGAGGGCGGGGAGACTTCTTTTGGCACCTGTCCCCTCGGGCCAGTGCGGGCGGCGCTGTCTTGTACTGTTGAAAAATCTTCCTCTCCAGCCTTGCAGTTCCCCTTGGTTGGGTTTTAAACCCTTCGGGAGAGTTTTCTTCAACTTCTTGGGGTGGGGACGTGG